GGAAGTGTGTTGGAGGAATTCATCGCTCTATACCCAGGTGCCTGGTACATGTTTAATAGTAGGTGTTCGGTAATGTTTGTCAAAGGAATCAACTACCACATAATTCAGCAACACCACTCTAAGCAGAACCTTCTGGGATCTGTAACACGGGACATAGGATTTCTCAAACAAACATGTTAAAACACCCCAAAATGGACTGGCTTCAAGGGTTTATGATGTGTAAAGTCATATAGACTTCCTCCCCTTATGGTGAGAGGGGTCTTACATTGGGGTTAACACTCTGCTGTCACCATCTAGAAATATTGTATGACTTTTAAAAAAGAAGATCTCAATTTTCATATCATACTTGGCCTTGAAAATTATGTATGTGACCCTGGTTGAGATTCCCAGGCTAGAACTCTTCTGTGCACAGAGCTTGTCTGCCAGCCTCCTTGGCTATGGGGCCTCATCAGGGTGTTCCTAGCCTGTGGAACACTCTTTTCTACTCCCCTTCATTACAGCCCAAGTTCTGAATATATTTATAAGGTGCAGAGTTACAACTTCTCTAGCTATTATATTGGAAAGAGAAAGTTACCTCATTTAAAGTGTGAATAACCAAGGTGATATGGAGTGTTTTCTTTACCTCCAATTCCAATGTTCCATGAGCTTCAAGAAGAAATGATTTTTCTAGCTACTGTTGAACTCTGAAATAGCAGTGTTTTAGACATTCAATCTACATAGATATTTCATGCACCTTCCGTAGATAGATATTTTGAGATAAAGCAATTTTCTTGTGTTGCTCAAATTGTATTATTTAGGCAACTTCTGACAATATCAATCCATCTATTCATAAACAGCTCTCATTCATACTAAATGTTGTTTAAAAATTATGTCTTGTGTTGTTGCATTCTTTTAATGGGCAGAACATTATCCAAGAGATATGCTTTTGACAATCAGTTTCACAATAAGCACTATAAGAACCTCTTTACTTCTATCTCTAATATCCATAGTTAGAAATCAGAAGTATTGGATTCCAAATAGGTCCATTTTACCACTTCTTAAGCTTATGACATTGGATAAGTTACTTGATGTCTTTAATTCTTTGTTTTCTCATTTTTAAAAAAATGAGTCCAAGGAATAATTCTTTTCCTAATCTTGGGTTTATTTTTGTAGTTGCATGAGAGATATGCATTGAAGACCAAGGTGGAGATCCATGATTAGATAAAGTTCTGTGTGTTGAATGATGCATTCTGGAATATATGGAGACAGATTCAGAGCAGAAAGGAAGGATGGTCAGGGAAATCCAAATGTAGGAACAGGGTTTGAAGAACAGATGAAGAAAGATGTATTGCAAGAGAAGAAAGAAGAAATTTGGATTTCTGAGGTTAGTTTTCCCTTGAATGGCATGAGTGAAGGCCAATGGTAATAGCTACAAGCTGCAATTTTATTTGTTTTGGTACCAGGGATGGAACTCAGGTCCTTGCGCTTGTGAGGCAGGTAGCAGAACCACTGAGCTACATCCCTAGCCCCAAACTGCAATTTTAAAAATAAGGTGTGTCGAGATAAAGCCAAAGTAGAACAAGAATCCAGAAAGATTATTGAGAAAAAGAAGTGAGATGAAGGAAAGAAGAAAAGTTTTCTGTTTTGTTTTTCATAGTCACTAGGGGAGGGTACAATTGAAGAAAGAGACAAGAGAAGGAAAATCTGCATTGATCCCTGTGAAGGAAGGAAGGTGAAGGAAAGACCTTTCAAGGAAAACATGAAGGAGAGGATCCATTTCATAAACAACAGAAGCAGCTGCTCAGAAAGAATTTATGTGGAAGGGGTCTTGATTAATAAACAGAAAGATTTTGACACACATATTGGCAGTAATTCAAATCCGGGGGACAGGGAGGCTATAGGCTTCAGATCAGCAGAGGAATGCATGTTTTGAAGATCCTATCAAGAGTAAAAAAGACGAGCACCGTGGGAAGACCTTGGTGGGGACAGAAGGCCAAGGCCAAAATTTCTGACCATTTGCTTTAGGAAGGAAAAGAAGATAGAGGAGGCATTGTGATAGGGTATAAAAAATGTATTTGTTATTCCATTTAAAACTAGAGGACAATTTGGTGAACTGGACAGGGAATGTGACTGGGAAGTGGAGCACGAGGCGGAGGTCAGGCTATGAGAGTGGGTGGGAGGGACCTGAGAAGGGGGATGAGAGGCAAGAATGTACAGCAACAAGAGCCAAAACAGTGAGCAAGACAAGCCTATTTCTCTGCATGTTGTTCCAAATAGCATCAGGACAGGAGTAGTTGGAGGCCAGCTTGGTTCGGTCAGTTTAGATCCATGTACTTTATCTAGTGTTCATGGAACTCTGGCATTAGATAGTAGAAAAGCAAAACTGAAGGGTATGGGCTGAAGTCCCTCAGAAATTTGGGTCTATTTACAGACATACAAAGTAGGAGAGGTCAAGGTCAATGTGGGAGCAGCTTTGAGTTAACCAGGTACCGATCATTACCTTGACTTAGGAACCTTCTTCTGGGTAAAAATAGGTTCTGAAATCTGAAGTGAAGCAATTTGATTCTATTTCAGCTTGAGTGGACATTATTGGATGGAAGACAAGGAGATTTGAGAAGACTAACAATTATAAGAGGAGGAGGGATAATTTGAACTGATCTTCTTATATACAGAAAAAAATATTTTTGGAGCAATTACGTGTGGGGGCAAAGGAGGAAGTAGAGAGGGTAAAGTGAGGGTAAGAAATGTGCCTTAACTGTTCTAAATACAGCACAGATTTAATCTCATTCAAATGTTACTGTAACCCCTCTCTATATAGTATAATATATACTATATATATAATTCATTAGTATGTACAGTTTGCAGATAGGCATTTAGTTTACTTGTTACATATATTGGTAACTGCTTAAACTTCATTGAGTATAAACTATGCGCCAGTCACTTTATACAGATTATCTCTTTTAATCTTTACAACAACAATGGAAGTATATGCTGTTATGAATTCCATTTTCCAGATGAGAAAATCAAGACATGGAAAAGTCCAGTACCTCACCCAAAGCCACACAACCAGAAAGTGGTGGAAATTGAGAAGCAAACTCAGGCAATCTGTTTCCAAAGCCCAAAATCTTAACTACCATGATCAAAAGTTTCTAATAAGGCAGTCAAAATTAAGAGAAAATAGAGGTGGCAGATGCATTTGCAAAGATTTAAGATTTAAAATAACAAAGATCATAATAATATAGCAAACATTTATTGAAGGATTACCCTGTGCCAGACCCTATTCTAAATGTCTTGTATATATTATCACCTTGAATTTTCAGAACAATTGTTTTGTTTCTTTTATTAAAGTTTTAAGCATGCGACACACAGTATGTGTTCAATAAATATTGTTGAATGAATTCTAAAAGATAACTATGATTTTGCATCTAGGGAACTCAACATCATAGAGTCCAAGGGACTCAGATCCTATGCCTCTCTTTGTTTTATTATGTTATAGAATTTATTCTTCCCTGAAGTTGTCTTGGTTATTTCTTTGCTTGTTTACTATTTGTCTCTCTGTTAGTGTGTCTACTCCAGGAGGGCAGGGAGCCTCATTCATTGTGTTAAGGCTGTACTTGCAGCATGTAGAGCAATGCCGAGGGCAGGAGGTAAGTAATAAATATTTGCTTTTGAGCAAAAAAAAAAAGAAAAGAGAAGCCGATATTTCCACCTTTCAGAACATCTTTTCTCCACATGGCACACTGCATCACTGAGTGGAAGATGGCTGCTGACCTTCCTCTCCACCAACTCTCAAGAAGTATCTGCTCCCTTTCCCCATTACTGACTCAGTTTCCATTGATCCACATAGGCTTAATGGTAGAGCAAAGAAGAGATTTTTTGTTTTATTTTCAAAACAAGTAGAGATTATCACAAAGATGGTCAAGCCATCTAAATATATAAATTACATTTCTATTAGAATGGCTACTTACAAAAGCAGAAAAAAAGGTTAGGGCAAAGATGTGGAGAAACTAAAAGCCTAGTACAACTGTTGATAGGAGTATAAAATGGTGCAGCCACTATGGAAAGCAGTATAGCTGGTCCTCAAAAAAAAAAAGAAGAAGAAGAGTTACCATATGATCTAGCAGCCCCTACTTCTGGGTACATACTATACCCCGCAAAATTGAAAGCAGGCTCTCAAAGAGGTATATGCATATGCATATTCATAACAGCATTGTTCACAACAGCCAAAAGGTGGAAGCAACCCAAGTATCCATTGACAGATGAATAAAAAAATGAGGTTTACACACACAATGGGTATTATTCAGTGTTGGAAAGGAAAGATGTTCTGAGACATGCTACGACATAGATGTAACTTGAAGATATTGTGCTAAGAGAAATAAGCCAGACACGAAAAGACAAGTACAGTATGATTTCACTTCTAAAAGATACCTAGAATTGTCAACCTCATAGAGACGAAAGTAGAATGAGAGTGGTCAAGTGCTGGGCTAAGAGAAGAATGGGGAGTTATCCACTGGATACAGAGTTTTGTAAGATGAAAAAAGTTCTGAGGATTGGTTGTACAACAATGTGAATGTACTTACTACTGAACTATATATTTAAAAGTGACTAGGATGAAAAGTTTTATGTTAATTAAAAAAGACTAAAAAAGGAACTCTTTGTAGTAGCACAGAGGTCTCATTTTAGATCTAAACTAAAAACACTGATTCAATAAAGTCAAATAAGAATGGAAAGTATAAATAAAGGAATAGGAATGTAAGACACCATAAATAACCTATTTTTGGGATGAAGAAAGATTAAACACAAGTTTTGGTATTTGGACTTTTGATGGTTGGTGTTAAATAACACTTTCTTCAATGCCTTTGTAATGTAACGCGTGTTCTTTAGCATTTTATAGGAATCTATACCGAGATTGGGACCTCAGAGCCTGGCATGCTTATGAAGTCAGGCAGAACAGAGTAAGTTGTGACAAATAACCCTGCTCTCAAGTGAATTCTCTACCACTCGGTCTCCCAGACACTGACCTGTCTACACGAAGCTGGCAGACAACGTTCAGCGCATCCACAACTCCTTCTTCTTTCAACTGCTGACAGCCAATGGATGTAGCAATAAAACACCCCGTTCTACCAATCCCTGCACTGAAAGGAAAACAAAAGGAGTGAAAAGATTGGGGTGTGTGTGTGTGACAAAGATACATTCTTTTTTTTTTAAATTAAATTATTTTATTGGTACATTGTAGGTATACAACACAATTACATTTCTCATTGGGAATTGTACCTTTA